TGGAACCCTGGGGTCTGTAGTTTGGTGACGTACTTAGCATTCTCTGCTAGAAAGCTCCAGTGCTCTCCCTTCAACTGCATCACTAGAGCTCTCTAGGAGTAAATTCTAAGCCTCTCGCCGAACAAAAAGTCCAAGAATTCATAGAATCATTGGAAGAGATCACAAGAGCCATCCAGTCCAACCCCCTGCCAGGCAGGGACATAGAATCAAAACGCCCCTAAGGTGAAGCTATCATAGGAATTTCTTGGCAAGATTTGTTCAGAGGAGGTTTGCCATTGCCTTCCCCTGAAGCTGAGAGTATGTGACTTGCCCAAGGTCACCCAGTGGGTTTCATGGCTGAGCAAAGAATAGAACCCTGGTCTCCAGAGTCGTAGTCCAGCACTCAAACTGGTCAAAAAATGACTCTTGGGAGCAGTACTGCCCACCTGTGGGACAGCTTATGGAGAGGGCAATGCTCCTGAGACCAAGCAGGGACTCCAGAAGCAACCAGTCCCAATCCCACCCCAATTCCTGCTGTGGAAGAAGAGAGAATCAAGAATATGACAGCACAGAATCAGAATCAGAATCATAGAGTTGGAAGGGGCTTCATGGGTCATTGAGCCCCAACCTCCTTCCGCACCCAATACAGGATATCCAGCTTGCAATGATTCCCAAACTTTTTGTCCTACAGTTTTGGACTTCAGCTCCCAGAACTCCAGACAGTTGGCCAAGCTAACTGAGGCTTCTGGAAGCTGAAGTCCAAAACACCTGGAGGACCAAAGTTTGGGAATCATTGTATCCCCAGCAGGTAGTTGTCCAGCCCTTTTTAAAAAGACATCCAGAGAAAGAGATCCCACTACATCTCTGGGCAATTGGTTTCACTGGCAAGCCACTCTTATTCACCAGATATTCCTTCTAATGTCCAATCCAAATCTACCCTCCTCTAACTTAAAACCTAGCCGTAGCCTCTGGAACAACAGAGAACAAACCTTCCAACATTTTACAGATGAAAACCAAACATGTGGCCAAGCAACATTGAGTATGCACAATAAGGCAAAGTTCTTTAGAACAGAAGTAAAAGGAGAGGGAAACAGTAAAAGCACTGAAAAGGTGGATTCTTGTATATACTCATGTATAAGTCTAGAAATTTAGATCAAAAAATTGACCAAAAATTCTGAGTTGACTTATCCATGGGTCAATGTAAGTACTGTATCTTGACTCTTATTTAAAAGAAGGAACCATCCCCTGGTGAAAAGCAAGAGTATAATATGTCCTGAAAGCAATGACCCTCTCTACTGTCTCATCCATCCAGTCTTAAGAGTAATCACAAAGAGTTATGTCTGCTGGAATTTTGTAAGTTCTTTGACATTGTTTTGTTTTGCTTCATCCTTTAGATCCTTTGCTATATGCCCCTAAGTTTTACCCTTGACTTATCCACGGGTGATATCAAAATCCTTAATTTCAGCCCCAACACTTGCCCTCGACTTATACATGAGGTTGACTTATAGTTGAGTATTTATGGTCATTAAGATTGTCTTTGTCAAATGGGGACAGTCGGAAAGTATGTCCTTGTGATATTTCTACACTCCACCCAACTCCCTGTTTTATATGAGAATGGTGTAGAGACATGAAAAGAAACGCAGGTGTGGCACTGTCATGTCCAATTTGCCCATATGACACTAGTTGAGGGCTACAATGAACAGCATGCCATGGTCACACTCTCGATAAAGGAGAAAGGGTTGAGAAAATGAGACACTCTCAATCTTTGTGAAGATCAAATGCTCTGCAAGATTCATTAGAAGTGAATTCACGCCAGATTTACGCATCCGGATGCATCACCTTTTCCCCTTTAGCGATCAAAGGAGCCCATGGTGGGAACTGCTAAGTTCCACCATTGTTAAGAAAGAGTTGGCATTTCCAGCACAAACCTCAATTTTAAGGGGTTTATGAATCAGATGTTTTAGATTACATCTGGATGAGGCTGAACTGTTTGGAAGAAACTGTTGTTCCAGATGTGAATTTAAAAACCTGCCATGCTGATTTGTTGCACTACATGTTGGGCATGCAAAAAAAGGAGGCACTGGATATTTAGAAGAGGTTTGGGGATTAAATTCTTCTAGTCACTTTGGCTCCTCTTTATCTCCCAAAGGCAGAGGAAGTAGCCTCGGAATTGACTGCAGCTCTACAGCAAAGCCTAAATCTGGATTACTAGACCATGTTTTACAAACTTCCAACCAAGTGCTTGCCAAACACTCCATTCCAAAGGTATGGAACCTTTGAGCCCACAGGAGTTTCAGAGTACTACAGCTCCCAGAATCCCTTACCACTAGCCTTGCTGGATGGGAGCTACAGAGGAGAAAATTCAAGATGGCCTCTGCTCTATTCTGTCTGCTAGTGCTGCATGGATTTACTTTCCAATAACTATTCCTCTGCCAGTTTAATAGCCAAGTGAATGTGTATTCTTCTGGTTAAAATTATATTTGGAAAACCTACTTGTCCTGAACTGTATTATCAACACAGTTTTTGAAAAGATCAAGAACCCAAATGCCTTGGCAACTGTGAAGTGAGAAGCCATTTGCATTTAGGTCTGAACTCTGGAACTGTTTTTACAGCTAACGGTTCAACCTTGGCAGGCAAGTTGTTATTACTTTTGCCTACTTGCAGGTACTAATAGGGAGAGGGCAGGTGACTTTCCCCATCCATCATCACTTAGACCTCCTTAAAGATGAAGGTTCCTACAAGCAGAACCTGCACCTAGAAGAAGTTTCCTTCATGGGTTCAAGGTAGCTTACTTCCGACTAAGTGTGCAGAGGATAGATTGCCCTCATTTCTAGGAAGTCTCAATGACACTGTTGCCTCAATACTTAGTATCTGACCATTTTGTATGCTTCTTATTGATCTTGGACACTAAGTAGGATCAGCTCTGGAATGGATTGAACAACATGTAGCTGTCACAGGACCAAATACCCTAAAGGCACCAGATCCCATCTGATCTTGGAAGCCAAGCAGGGACAGCCTTGGTTAGCACTTGGATGTGAGACCATCAATGCAGCCCAGGTGCTATAGGCTATATTTCAGAGGAAGGAAATGGCAAAACCACTTCTAATGATTCCTTGCCTTCAAAAACCCTAATGAATTCATGGGGCTGCCATAGATTGACAGGCTCAACAAGATCATTTCAATGCCAGAATATTTCAAGGAGGCTTATTTGTGGGAGGGGATCAATCTGAGGCTTGTTTTTCTGCCCTGTGTGGTTTAGCAAGACGTAAGAGCTCCCTGGCTGAGAATTTTAAATGCCCTCCCTGAACGGCAGATCCCAGAATTCACATTAGGCAGCCTTAGCAGTTGAACTAGAATTATAGTGCTACAACAGTCTGTTGTTTATTGTGTGCCTTCAAGTCATTTTTTACTTATGGCGATTATCATAGGGTTTTCTGGGCAAGATTTGTTCAGAGGAGGTTTGCCATTGCCTTCCCCTGAGGCTGAGAGGATGTGACTTGCTCAAAGTCACCCAGTTAGTTTCATGGCCAAGCCCAGGAATCGAACCCTGGCCTCTTGAGTTGCAATCTAACCCTCAAACCTCTACACCATTCTCCTTTGATAACGTCCTTTGTCTGAATTTTAAAGGAGCTATCCAAGGTGCTGGAATTCCTCTCTGCAAAAAATATACAAAAGGTTCAGCACTATGGAAAGATCATTCAAACTTTGGACTGAAACCCAGGGTGGATTCATTACCCTCACTGGCAAGGGCGTCTATATTCTGCATTGGAGGGAATGCATGGAGAAAGTCTGTAGGCTAGGCTCTGCTGTAGCTTTCACTATCTGGGCATCTCCCCTGAACCAGTTTCCTGAGCATCCTTTGCACCTTCTTTGAGATGGTGTCCAGTTAATAATTAACCACCCTGTGTTTCTTCAAGAGATTATTTGGGGATGATAGCAAAGTGAAGCTAAGATTGGCCTGGCTCCAGTAACCCTTTCAGAAGATGTTTATTTAGAAATCCGTAGACCTGGGACAACCCAGTATATGTCTCTGTGCACTCATGCTCTCCAATAGAGTCCTCCATGGGTTCAAACGTCAAGCACCTTCAAATAGGGATGAGTTATCTCTCCTTCTCTCTTCCTTCCTGTACTCCTTTCTTTAAAAAAAAGAATGCTTGCCCCATGAAACCA